GCCAACTGTAATTTTGCTGACCTATATTCCCAGCATTTTAATAAGGCAGTAGAATTAACTTATCTTTGCAGTCATGACATAGAGTTCTTAGTGAGCAGGTGACTTTAAACACACTCATTCCTCTTCTGTGGTGCCATCTGATGCCTTCTTCCAGCAGGACATGCAGGTGTTGTCAAGCAACCATTGCCCATAGGCAGTTGTGTGACATTTACTATCCGAGTATCAGAGTGCTTCTGGCTGTCAAACAGAAGCCAGCAAGCATTAGAACGTAATAGTCTAAATAAAGACAGAAGTGAGCTGCGCATGGAGAAAGTGGTAGGAACAAAGATGCAACATTATATTAGAAAAATGCCTAAAATTAAAACGATCCTCTTTGCCAGTCTTACCAGGGCTGTTTGTCCTGAGCGCTGGAGCCCAGAGGTTCGCACTGAGACCACTCTTAATGGCGTGTTTAAGACCTATTAAGGCAGAAATTCTTGATGCTCTGCTGCATAGGGTCATGGATGAGAAATCGGCTGTTCGAACTGTATGTATTGTACATACCAGAAGAACCTTCTGACCAGACACAGGGTGAGCTTGGTCACAATTAAGCTGGGCGTTTACTTTTTATAGGGCTCATTGCAAATGTAATCACTTCAAGTGTTTAGAGAATTCCTTAGTGACTCTGAAAAGAGCACTGCCCGCTCCCCACTCATTAAACTTTCAAGTTGAAGCCTCCAGTCAAAATAGGAGGTTTTCTGGAGCTTTAGCATGTGTGTTTAAAACCTGGCAGTCTGCTGAGATCACCTGTTTGAAAACTTCCGTTGCTTTATGTACATATCTGCAAATCAGTGAAGTATATCGTCTGCTTAATCAGATTTTTCCTGTATTAATTGCATTTAATTTAAAACTTGAATTAATACTGATTTTCACTTAGTTATTGATAGAACTGCTAAGCAAGAAACATTCCAGCTTCAAGTTAGGTTCTTCAGAAAATAGAAACAGTGTGATTTTTTTGGTTTTTTTAAAGATATACTTTATTGTGTTTGTATCTCGTATTCTGAAACTGTTTCCAGATAAGGCATAGATTAAACAGCAGAGTAATTATTTTTTTTTCCTAATGTTACAAAATTATTTATTTTTAGGGCTGAAATAAGCACACACAAAATCAGGAAAAAAAGTACTAACTGACACATTGTGATAGACCTGACTTGAAAATATATTAAGTGTAGCTCAGGATGCCTATGCTTTCATGGTTTTTTCTCAGCTTTGTTTAGAAAGGAGTATGGCAGAGAAATCAAAGTAGACCCATAGCAACTTCAGCACTTGTTTTCATTCTTTTGAACAAAAAGTTAAATGGAACTACAAAGCCATACTCATGCACCTTCTTAAATGAGTTGAAATATCCATTTCTTTTGTTCAATTAAAAATCCCAGTATTAAGGAATGGTACCAAAATTAGTCCTCAGAATCCCTGCAGAAGTTAAATCTTAGCACCGAGATACTGTTTTTTTCACTTGTCCTCACCTACATTTAGACAGTTTCTTGTTACAACTTTTTCTAGAAGAAATTTTGGGAACTGCCTGTTTCATAACAGAAGCTAGCATCTTTTGGCAGCTGTGTTTAAAGTGGGAATAACTTATCTTCTATCAGAGTATTTATATGCGTAACTGCTGGGAGAAGCTGTTAGCTATGTAGAGTGCAACCGAAAGTGTGAATTGAACGGAACATGAGCAGCAAATTAATGTCCTGCACTTAGGCTAGACAACATTTCCAGTATACAAAGGAAGGGCTTATTAATTCTGATACTTGTCTCTGTGGGAAATATGGGCCTACAGGGAAGAAAGGTTATGATTGTTTTATACAGTAAATTTCTGAAAGTTTTGTGTTGACCAGCTGTTTATGCTTCAACCAAAAGTCCTGTTTTCTTGCCACCACCACCCCCTTTTTTTTTTGTTTTTTTCTTAGGGAATATACTATTTCCACGGGACTGAAGCAGTGCAGCAGTCGTTTCACTACAAGGTCTGTTAAGCTGATCAGCCATGAGACCTGGCTGGAATGCATAAATCCCAAACAGTGACTAGTTTAAAAGCTTTAACTTGTATACAATTTATGTCTTGTTGGAATTGAAGACCGAGCTAGGACTTAAAGTACTGAGATACCACATGTTATTTTTCTGCTGAGTTCTGTGGAAGTCTGCAGTCTTTCGGAGAGTATTGCATAGTAAATATGAGTTGCTGTAAATATGAGCCACAATTAAATACTCTTAATCGTCTTAGATATCGTTAAAGCTACTATGTTTAAAAAAAAATTATCGAAGATCCACAACTATTCACTGTTAACTGTGATGGAAATCTGATAATTAGAACTCTTCTTGGATATGTCTCCATTAGTGAGGAAATTAAAATACAATATTGAGTAATGCTTGTTTCTGCCTAAGAGCATTGCTGCTCTTGGCACGTGGAAATTGCTTGAGATCGGAAAGCTTGAACAGCAAAACAAATGCACTGATACCCTACGTACAAATCCTTTACGTTCCTAAAGCCTCAAAAATGTCATCCTTGCACCAAAGTCCTACCCCAGATGTTTAGCAGACTCACAGCTTGTAGTGCCTTCAGCTTCAGAATAGTTTCCTTATCCCTGTTAGCTTATCAGGCAGCAGATGTGTTTTCAAAGTTGAGGGCCACAGAGATACAGGTTTGAAATGGAAAATTTATTTCTTCTGATCTTCGAGTGTGTGAACTGTTGACCAGGTGTCTTTGAAAACAGGATCAGATTGAATTCAAGAATCCAAAGCTTGTAGGAAAACTGGTGTGCCCTAGCAGGAGACTTTCCCCAGGAAAAATCTTGACATACAGTCTGGTTAGATAAAGTTAGATCAGTAATTACACATTATCTGCTAAGGCAGTACTGAAAAGGGAGAGAAACTCTAGCAGTAACCGGCATCTCTGTGTAGATACTGCTGGTAAGCTTGGTCCTCTCGCAGCCGCTGCTTTTTGAGAAAGCAGAGCTGCAGGTGGATGAAGAAGATGGGCATGGACTGTCTCTCACCCATGCAGTCAAGGAATTCGGGTTCTCAGAGTTGAAGGTTCTCACATTTTGTAGTCCTTGGTGTGAGTCCGTCCTTTTCTTAATGACAGGCATACTAGTTTCCAGATACTAAACAAAGATATCTGTGATAAGACAGTGCTCATATTTTTATATGAAAGAATATCTATTTCCATGTATTTTCCATATATATATATATGTTTTCAGTTTGAAAAAGAATTCTCATAACAGAAGAAATTGCTGACTTTGAACTGCTTGTGCAGATTAACTTAGTCAAAAATGCAAACTAAATACTAACAGTCTTAAGAGTACAAAAATGAACTGAACTGTTCTTTTTAAAAAAAAAAAAGCAGTGCGCTGAAAGTTTCTTGAGATGGTCCTACTTTTTTTCTTTTCTTCAAAGACAAGAAATCAGTATCAGAACGCGAGTTCTGAAGATTATTGTCTTTAAATGGGTTTGATTTTTCTTTGAGTAAGCTTTTAGTCTATTCAAGTTGCAAGTCTGGATCATTCTTTCTATGAAAAGTTGAGGTGGGTGCCTAAATACTTTTTAGATTTTGAAGTAAAAGTGAGAAAGTAAACTTCTTTAGATCTCGTCCTAGTTGTAAACAAGCAGAGGTAGAGCTCAAGCAGTTGTTGAAGTAATGTATACATGGGACTGTCTGTAACCTGGAAAGGCTGTCCTATAAATTTCGGCCTGGTTAGGTTACTGTGATGGACGCTTTACAGGCATTAAGCAGAAGTGTTTTTTTTCTTGAAGGTCATTGTTAGATGTGCGCTGAGAGAAAACACATTGAGACAAATGGCTTGTAAGCAAGGCAGCTTCCATTTTGGTAGCTGAAGAAACTGTTGTTGATGTTAATTGTAAGGAACTAAATCAACTTCAGTGAGCACTCCTAAAAATCCCCTGATAACTAAAGACACTTTTCTTTAAAGGTCCAGAATCTCATTTGTTAGTTACTTCATGTAAACAGGAACTTACTAGGCATCATTGGCCAGTATCTATCAGCTTAAGATGAAGTCTGAAGGCAATCGGTGGTTAATGATCTGTGTTTGCCGCTGTAGGGTGTTTGGGGGTGTCTGACTCATCTGTTTGTCACCCGCTGCCTGCAAAGGGCTGGCCTCACATCTCTGAAGGCACCTCTACAAAAGGCTATTGAAAAGAACCAAAAATATGATGGATGCATCCTTACCAGAGCATCATTGTCTGAACAGATAAAAAGATAGCAAAAGAATGAAGTTAGAGTTCTGTATCCAGTTCTTAATTAATTTAATTTCCTTTCAGTCTTGAGCTTCTGCCTATTGATACTTTTCTGCAAAGCTAGTCCTTTTCCTTCATCAAAAAAAAAAAACCTCTTTAAGTGAGTGGCGGCAGTGTTTCAGTTCCAAATAGAAGGGTTCTCTCCCATTTCTGTTATTTCAGGAAATAATCAGTACCGAAGTCTAAAGTAATGTAACTGTATTGCAAATTTGATGTTAAAGTGGGGAATGAGCAATGGGAAGACTATGTGACTGTCTTCATTGCTTCCTGAAAAATTGTCAATTCACGTATTTGATACCATTTTTTACTAAGGGCAGCGTACTGTAGAAGAGCCTAGTTTTAGGGTCTTTACTGCAATTTTAATACCTTGATCGGGAGCGTAATCCACATGAAAGCTCTTGGTCAGCACCCTCACTAGTGGTAAAAATGAGAGTGGAGACATGTCCTGGAAGATGAAATTAGTAATGCTGTCTTCCTTCAGGATTGTTTTCTCCACTTTAGCATCTTTCGTGGCGAACAGAAATAATGATTTGTGTAAATGTCCATCAGTGTGATATGGCTGGAAATGACGTTGACTGGGAGTAGGATAACAGCAGCAACCAAAACCGAGGCATTAGGAAGAGGGTCACTGGAAAAAGATATCATAGTATCAAATGTCCTATTTTTCTTTGTTCTTTTTTTAGCTAGTGGTGGTGTTTTACCATTTTAATTTCTAGTACTTTGGATATCGTTCTAAAGAAGTCTCTCATTTGAAAAAAAAATTTTAAAAAGTCTGTGTATGGGTATTGCATGAGCCATTAATTTCCATACACGTACTTGCGATGAGCCCAGAAAAACATTCAACTTTGAGTCATGAATTTCAGTGCCCAGTAATTACTAGAATAGTAATGTTGGCAGAAGAGTGCCCCTTCAATAGAGGTTTTACTTCTTTTTGTCGTCTTCCTCTTTTCTTTTCCTTTTTAGCCACCAGCTAAATACCTCCTGCCAGAACTGACAGCATCAGACTATGGGAAGAAGTGTGTGGTCATTGATTTAGATGAAACTTTAGTGCACAGTTCATTTAAGGTAAGTAAATTCAAAAGCGATCTCTTGCAACTTGAATCTGTCAGTGAATGTTGTAGGAACTGTTAAGCCTCTTAACACATTAACTAGTCTTACAGGCTCTCCCAGGATGCCTGGTAGTTCTTATTGTTACTCCTATGATTATTCATCCGAATTTAGCTGTAAGGGGAGTAACGCAGACAGTGCCATTTTTTTTTGATTCTGACAAAGTCACACTGACTGAATGCCTGGGATAGTTACTGACTTCATGGCTTTAAATGGTCACTATTCCAACAAGGACCTGTATTTTAACAGGTACAAAACTTGTTACTCTGAAAATACGGTTTTGTTTTTGATGTTTAAATGATGTCATGGTTAGTCTAGGAGAACAGAAACTCAGTACAGCTTTAAGGTAGATCTACCTTAAACCAGTAGATTTGGGGCACCAGTGATTGCTGTGCTCTGTTGCTGGAGAAGATTACTTTCCATGTCAGACTGCTGTCCCAATCGCAGTAAGTGTTTTTAAGTATTTAGCTTTCACAGCAGGAAAACAAATAGCATTTAGCTGTTGCTGATGAGTCAGTCATCTTCTAGAAGCAACTGTTATAACCCTTCAGATTTCAGCATGTGGTGGAAGTAGTGGTATTTTTCTATTGTTTAAGTAGGGCTAAAGTTAGAATAGGAGAACTCAGAAGTACGAATAACCTAAATTGGCTTAAAGTGCTAGTAGCATTTCTGATTAGCAAATGTCAGACATGAGAAAGCATCTGCTAAGTTTCATACTTTGATTGGAGAATTTATAAGAATCAATAGTACGTTTCCTTACTACTAGCAAGCTAGAGTTACTACCAACTTCATAGTTTTCTAGTTTTGATTGCACTCCATTTTGCACTGCTAGCATAAACTCAACATTTTAATCCTGCAATATTTAGTTGCCAGCATTTAAATATGCAAACCATAATTCATATTGTGGTTAGAATTTTGCAACAGCCTGTTTTTGTTGACTTAAAGAAGACCTTATATGGAGATACTAGAACAAATATTCCTGTACCTCAAACTGAAACTAAGATTCTTCTCTGTCTTTGTTGTGCCTAATGGTCTATAACAATTTGTGGTGGCATACAGGAACCTCTTAACCTCAGTGCCAGATCCTTGTCTTCTATAACCAGACTGAACTTGGACTTGAGAATTTTTCAGGGAGATTAGAAACACAACTGGATTGGGAAGGGAGGGACCATGCCTTCCTAATTAAACAAGAGTCAAAAATAGCAAGGGAAAGCTGAATTTAAAAGTCTAAATTTACATAAAAATAATTAAGAAGTATTGGCTTAGTGTTATCTGAAATGTAAAAATAAAAGTTTGCTTTCTGAATGCTGTGGGTAACTTTGTACTCTGATTTTTCTTGTTTTTGAAACAAAATGAAATTCAATTTAGGTGGTAATTAATTTTCTTTTAACCATTTTAAAGAAATATGTGTTTAATGGTTGACATAGTGTAAATCCTTTCTTGTAGGATTGAGGTTTGCCTTTATTGCAGAGTGTTTTCTTAGTGGGCTCATTTTAATCATCCCATTTATTCAAATTATATTTATGGGTATTTAAATGATGTTAAATAGATTCTTAAGAAAAATCAAACGATTATTTTACTTAGTCTTGAACACTGAATACTGGTTTGTGTTAGGAAAAGAAAACTGGTCCTCATTTGTGTGAAGTCAGTAGTGGTAGGCAAATGTTGGAGTTTCTACAGTGTTAGAGTCTCATGGCTGCAATGGCGTTATCTTAATGTGAAGCCCTGTGATGGGAGTATGTAGGGGGAAACCAAGTGTTGGAGGAAACAACTTTAGCTGTTTCGTGACTGGCATGGTCCAGTGGTGGTGTTTGGATTTTGTTTCATAAAGGGAAGAACTTCAGCTGAGGTAAGGCTGTTGTGGTCATGAAAAATAACGATGGATTTCCAGAAGAGCAGGGGTTTTAACACCTATATGCACACTGCTCAGCCAGAATAATTGAGTTACTCTTGCAGTTTCTTTTACTTGTTTGGTTTTTTTTTCCACTAGAACATATCTGTGCTACCCAGGCAGGTCCCCACTTAAAAACTGTAAAAGCATACATAGGTTTGTGATTTTTAGTACAGAAGGCTTTATTTAAAACACATGACACTTTTGAATTGATAATTCTGTTATGAAGTAGGCTTCATATTTCAAATGCAGATAACTTTTTTTTTTAACATGACCAGAGAGGCAGAGTATTTAAAGTGCACTTTTATGAAAGCAGCAACATCTGAAGGAGGGTAATTCTTGTCTTTTTAAGCCCCTGCATATTTGTGAAGCTTTAAGGAGGTACTAGTCTTTCATGTTAAGTGCATATTAAAGGAATAAAGTTTGGGGTGCTTTGGCAAGAGTAAAAAAGGAATAGATAGACATTATAGTTATCGTTCCCATCATAAAACAATAATAGAAGCAAAAATCATAAATTATTAAATCAAGGAGTTGTAAACATGGTTTTGTATAAAATGAATTAAACCACATGCAAGTCTGGAATGTAATCATATTCCAAACTGGCTGTGAAACACTTCAAGAACATTTAAAACTCTGAAGCTTCTTAGTATGTAGAAAGAGTTCTAACTGAAGTAAAGATTTTCAGTGGAAATACATTGTCTTCTTTCATGCTCTGTCTCTGTGGTTCCCGTTCGAGGTATGTACATACTTCACATGTGCAACCCCAGAAACCTTTATCCAGCAAACTGTTGCAGACTTTTCTCCTGTCTTCACATTTTGATGAAGCACAGAACCCCGGTCCATGCTCTCTTCCTTATCGTTTATGCCAACAAGAAAGCTACGTAGTACCTGAAATATAAGTGAGGGGAGAGAATATGCAGTTAGGAGCAGTTTGGTTAGTGTTACAAAGTCTAAGGGTTTTATTTGTTAGCAAAAAATTAAGTTGTCTAAACAGCGTGTTTTCTCTGACACCTGGTTGACGTTGCTCCTGTTAAGAAAGTTTAGTAATAGCTGTAGTTTTATCAGTGGGCTTCAAAACCTTAGCAACTTGCAGTGACCTATTCTTTTTCTGCTGCTACAGAATATTTATCTTGCTTAAGGGAGTCATGCATATATAAATTTTTCAAGTGCGTGCAAGTCTCTTCAAAGCATGCACAGAGCTGGCATCCACTTGAAAAGTGGTGGCTGAGTCTTATTGACAGTTCATTTGGGTTTCTTTTAAGGTGAAGCTTCAGAACATTTTCGTATATCTGTTCTGTGGCTATTAGAGATGCTGCGGAGTATCTTCTCTGAGGGGCTTCATGCAGGTAACAGATGGGAACCTCCTCTCTGTCTTTTTCGGAAACAGAAAGGTGATGTATCTTGGAAAATGCTTGATGTCAGGTAAAAAAAAAAATCTAGGTTGTATCTGCAGGTATTTGAGGAATTCTTTAGATCATACTAGCACGGCGGTCATCAACAGGATGGAGTTTTCCATCATCAGCTGCTCTGGAGTTTTGGTTGCCAACACTGGTTGGTCAGGACGAGTAGATTCAGTGTCGCTTCTCATTTGCCCTCTGACACGGCACTTGCAAACGTCCGATCAAACCATCTTCCTTATTTCTTCGCTACTCAGAGAGGATGTTGCACTCTGTATAAATTCTTACGGTCAGTTTGCTCTCCTCACAGAAAGGTCGTTTGATAGTGGAATTGGAATCTCATTTTTCCAGGGAATGGGATCAAAGTGGTGCTATCAGATTAATACCACAGGATTATTTTTTTTCCTACCATTTTTCACAGAGCACCTGTTTAGACTCACCGGTTTCTGATCTGCTTCTCTTTTACCTTGGCTGCTTCTCTGCTTTCTTGGCACCCCCTTGCCCCATCCGAATGAGTTTGAAGGCTCTTTCTAGGCTCACAGATTCTTCAGGGGCACCTCCTTGGTGGTACTTGAGATCAATCTATTGCCTGACCCAGAAAACCAGGTGGGAAAGTCTGTACAAGTCTAATAGGGCTGAGTGAAGATGTTTTCCAGCCTGAGCTTAGTAATGCCATACCAGTTACCAGCCGGACTACTCCCAGCCTTCGTTTTAGGCTATTATCCATGAAGCACATTGTTTCTTAATCAGTTGTGTTAAAACTATATTTGGCACTCTATGTGTCAGCCATTTCCAAGCTATATATCATGGAATGAGTTACAAACTTCAGCCGGGTGTGTTTGCATGATTTTTTTTATCACGGACGTAATGCATGAGCTGTACCAAAGGATTCTGCCAAGTTTAATGTCCATTTGAACTAGTAAACATTGTTAGCGACGTGTTCCCCAAGTACCACTAATGTCTATCCAAGATTAGACTATGTACTCATCAACTGTCTACAAGGACACTTCTCTGCTTTCCAAAGTAATTTTACTTGACCAACAGTTTTTCACAGTAGGGCTTAAGAAACAAGTTGTGTTCAACAGGCTATAAAAATGGATTCAAGGACTTGGACAGAGTGTGCCTGCTCTTCCCTTTTGAATTAAAATGCAGTTGTACATGATTAATTTGATTGGTATAGCATGTTCTTGAGGTATCACATCTTGAGAATCATTTAACTATACAACTTCAGTCTTGTTGCAGCTCCTGATTCAGATATAACCACTAGGTATTACTTTTACCACTGCCTTTATTTTTAATTAATGACTAATTGACGACCTGGAGTAGAATATGTGAAGCACATAGCTGAATTTCTTTGTCATCATCCACACAAGCTTGATGAAAGAGTTATCCAAATAGGTATTTTTCCTGGTAAACACACTCAGTAGTAGTGGAGGTTATTCAAGCCATAAAGCGTATTACATTGTATGAAGCTTAAAAACAGAGGAGGGAAGCGCGGTATCTGGTGAATACAGCTGTGTAAGTCTTCTGACTTGTGTATGTAAAGGGTGCACACACAGAGTGGATCTGTATAGTCAATAATGCTTATTAATTCATTCCTGAGAAGTAAGTACTCTTTTACGCCCCTGAAATATTCCCTCTAATGATCTTATTTTTAATACTGATTTATTTCTTTGTCATTCTTTCTAGCCAATTAGCAATGCTGATTTCATCGTTCCTGTTGAAATTGATGGAACCATACATCAGGTAAGTGCTGTTGTTCCTTTAGCATTATTCCAGTAGTGGAACTGTCCTCAGTGTTCCAGAGCGTTAACTTTCTCCATGTGCTGCTTTACATTCAATAACTTGTCCTTTTGCAAAATACAAAAGCTGTGTACTCTGGAATGTATCATCCAGACAGACCTCCCTGTTTGATCAGGAATGTAGTTTCTAGCTATTAAGTCTCGATTTTAACTTTTTCAGTTCTCCAGAATCTCTCTCTCAGGACTTCAATACTTGACTCTCTGTCAATTTTAAAATGTTTTCAAAGAGGATCTAAGGATGGGTTTTCAAACATTGCTAGGCCCAGAAAAAACTACTTGAATACTGCATTTCTCATTCCCTCCACAGACAAACAGGACATAAGTTGGCTTTAATGTCCGGTGGTAGTTCATATGGACAAAGCATTATAAAAGTATTAAGCAAGAAGAGATACTGCTTCAGTTTTTGTGGCAATCTGTGTTTAAGTTCTGTCCCCTTCCCATAAGTAATTTAAGTTCCTCTGATAGGACTTTTTATACACTTCAGCATCTTTAAAAAGTCCAGGCAAAATGATGAGAGACTAATTTTTATGACTTACTCTTTAAGAACTTCACTTAAGACTCTGTGAAATGGTTCTCAGTAAATGCAAAACACCCATCATTTGAAAATCAGTCTGCTTCATGTGTCTTAGGTTGGTGTCTTTAATCAGTAGTCGTTTCTGAAAACGTTGAATGAAGTAAATTACAATGTCATAAATTTTCCTCTTCAGACAGACATTAAAGTTCTTGCTGGAGACGAGTTATACTGGTTAATATGAAGCTGAGCCTTCCTGATATACAAATCTTGCAAATTGTTTGAAACATCGTCTATTGGTTGTTGTAGGTTAAAGATAATGGAATTCCTGAGTTGCAGATCTTCCTTGGATGTGATTTATTGAGATTTTTAAATACTTAATTTTTGAAATGTTGTCTTTTATATGAGTTATTTTTACTTGAACAAATAGGTTCATATTTTGATCTTGGAACAATTGATAGATCATAAAGTTAGTTCATAGTTTTGTTCGAGACTCTGTTATGTAAACCATCCATGTAATTGTCAGTCTTAAAATAATTACTAAATATCAGTCAGTGGACTGAAATGTGTTTTAAAGTGACAGTTGCTTTGACAGTTTTTACATTGTGCCTGTTTTATGTAGAAAAATTCAATATCTAGGGTACTTAAACTTATGATGTTCACCTGAGCTGAATGCTTAAAACATGTAAGTGATATTTTGGGATGTTTGTATGGTGATAGTGTTTGTATTGTGACAATGTCGGTCCTCATTTGGTGTCGGTTTTAGTTGTGTTCAGTGCTGTAATGCAGACATTTTCTCTCCTAAAACTTTCTGTGCTTTTGAAAGGGAATAAAATAGGTTGCCTAACAATTTTGAATGGCTTAGGATTTCAATCACATCGCTTGTCAAGATTATATGTTTACATTTTGAAACAAAACCCAATAGAAGACTATTTGGACTTTACAGTCAAGCACTTCAAAAGCCTGTTGCTTTTCCATTCCCTGCTGCAAACTTTCAGATTCTTCACCAAATGTAATGCAGTTAGGCACTTGAGATGACTGCATATTGGGGAGGGGGGGTGAACTGTTCAAAGGGAGTGGATTTGTGCATGCCCTAAATGTGAATGGGAGGAAATTCCTTAATCCTTTTGTATTTCAAGTTCTTAATCTCTAAAATAGGTAAATAGGTCACTCGCATCTGGGTGGCAGAAATGAAGTTAATTGTAAGGAATTTGTGATCCTTGAAATGAAGATCATTTATATGGTATGCAGAATAGGCGAACTCTTGGATTCCTGTGTTTGTAACACCTCTGCAGGCAAAGTAATATACTGTCATCCAGCAATCTTTTTTTAACTGTGATAATCTAAAGGGCAAAAGCAGACATTCTAGCTTAGTCTGATGTGCATTCTGATGTTCCCACTTCAAACCTGTAATTTTTTATTTGCTTAGATCATAAATGAACCGATATCAACAATTTTTATTATCTGTCAGAATTTGTCATCTGTATAATGCTTGTCCGTTTTATTAAGCAGTTTATATACTCAAAGATTAATGATTGGGATTAATACTTCCACCTGTTTAAAATATCACAGGATATGTGAAATGATGTAGACCATACTGTCCGTAGTGCGTAACCCTACCCTCTTTACCAGTAAGCCTGGTATCTTATCAAGCAAGAGATTGTCTGACAGAGTATTGTTGTACTTGAACTCTGCCTTGAGACAGAACCCTATGGAAAACAAACAGAGAACACCATTTCAGAAAGTGCCCATTCAGAAAGAAATTTGAAATTATACAAGGTTCTTCAGAGCTCATATATCAAAAATAGAAGCTGTGGCAAATTCAATTGCTGTATGCTTGAAAGAGTTTTGAGACTGACATATCTGAGAAGTTTTGTTCCTGGCAAATGTTGTAATTTTTTGTTGTGCGACAGAGTTATTCAAAAAAGGCTGTCTTTAGTTTAGGAAGTTTATTTTCCCTTATGTCATTTTAATCCAAAGGTCAGAGAGACTTTTGTTCTTCTAGAGGGAGGGCAACTCAAATCATCTTAAAGGGTGCTTGGGTAAACCAGCTTCCCGAGATTAAAAAAATAGCTTTAGAGGGACACTCCTTGTCCCTCTCCCATCTTTCTTTCTCTAGCTTAATTTACTTTGCTTTTAGAAAGGATTTGTCATTTTATTTTCCAAGGAGATAACTCGTGTGGAGGTACCTGTCTTTCCTTCTGTTATGGGTCTTTAGATGCCTGCAGAGACTGTGCCCGTCTACCCATCTACAGAGCAACTAAAGTTACAGGAGATGAATCCCACGCTTTGTGTTGGAAATGATGGCACAGATACAAAAGGGCAGTTCTAATGCAAGCTGACACTCTTCTGGCCAGTTCTCTCATTTCTCTCTGGTTCTCTGAATAAAAGGAAATCAGAGCTGGTCCCCTGCCCTACCAAATTGAAAGTGAGAAACTGGGAGAAGTCCAGCGAAATGTGTTGCAACTGAGAGTGTGCTTTAAAGGAAGTTTATTGAGGGTGAAAGTAGTGGCTGGAGAAAAGATGTTCGACCTGTTTGGTACCCTTGACGTAACTTCTGCAAGAACACGTCCTCTCTTTTGGAGCGTGCTTCCCATTTAACAAGTGCAGAGCAATCACAACCCACAGATTAGAAACTGTGCATTAAATATAGCTTTAATTCCCAGAGAGTGAAGATTTTTAGGGTATGGTGGTCCTTTGTCTTTTATCCAAATTGACTTGCAATGCCTTTGTGCTTTGCTGTCGGTGTGAAAGTGTAAAGAGGGTGGCTAGGAATAGTTTGATTTGGTGTTACTTGGAATTTCATTCTTGAATGTAATTTGTTTAAGTGAGTAAAACTAGTTTTTGAGTGTTTGTTTTTTTGTTGGTGGTTTTTTGGTTTTTTTTTTTTAATTCAGTTAACAATTGCTTACTTTTCATTTTTGAAAGCTAAAGAAATGTTTGGCATGTATACTTTGAATGTAATGTTTTTTATCGGTAGGAGGAAAATGCTGTTTGAATAATAAACTTCCTTTATAGAAAGGACAAAATTCGTTGATTTTCCTACAGAAGGCTGTGGCCTGGTTCAAGTAATCCAGGATAGGCTGTATCCATTCTAGCTGGCCTATTCTTGGTTACTTGCACTGGGAGGCAACCACAACTGTGTGAACCAGAAAGACAAGGCTCAAGGACGCACGTTATTTTCTGCTCGCTGTTGAGAAGATGGACCCAGCCCACAAAACAGGAGATTACAGGAGCTTGAGTTGTGATGGACGGATTTCTTTGTCATCACTTGAAGATTTTGTTATTGTAAAGTTGGTTTTGAAAAGCAATACTTTGTGTTCTATTTAATTGATTAAAATAGAGCTGGGTTTCTCTTTTGGTTTACAAATACTGAGTATTCTTAGGTTAAGACTGCTTTGAGATACAGAAAATGTATGTGGAAATACCAAATGCTTGAAATAATTAAAGATAATTACTTGTGTTCTGCCATTGGCAGTTGTAAGTACAGAATCCTGTGAAAACATGCCTAGTGCCTGATTTGTGCCTTAACATTTTAAGAGTAGGGTTCGTTTTAAATTTTAAAAAAAAGGCTGTATTTCTGTAAATTCTTACTGTGATAAGGAAGAAATTAGTGAGCATAAAATACAGCAAAACTGAAGGTTGTTGTTTTTTTTTTTTTTAATGCCCTGAAGACAGTATATAAATCTCAGAAAAATGCCAGGAGCCAGTTAGTCTAGAGACTTAAACTGAAGACATCAGGCAACAGAGGAAAATGCCAAGCCACAAATAACCATGCGGCATTGAGATTCAAGTCCAGCCACTAACAAAGTAAGGGGGAAAAAATTCCAAATGAGGAGGAAGAGGAGAAAAGAGCTGCGCTGTCAGCTGAAGAAAGCTTTTTATGTGAAGTAAACCAAAGAGATTTTGTAGCCCAGGATACCAGTACACTGGCAGTTGCTTCCAAGATCTAAGTAGGACTTCTCAAAAAAAACTTCAAGGAGAATAACTATCCAGAGTAGTAAGATATGTTGTTCTGCAAAAAAAAGAGTTGTGTTAAAAAAACAAACAAACAAAAAAAACCCCCACCAAACCTGAAGGGGTGAAGGAATTGGAGCTTTTTAGAGAGGGAGAGCATTAAGGGAAAAATTGGGTGAGACTTCATCCTCAGAGATGACATTTATTATTAACGAGGCATTTAACATAAGAAGCGAATCTGTTGGCCAGAGCCCAGTAGGTCAGATTTAAGGCAAAGAGCAAGAGAAACTCAAGTAGAGGAGGTTGAGGGTGCTTTGTGCTGTGTCAGGATAGCTAAACTGCAGAAGGGAGACGATACAACTTAAAATGCTTTGTACTTACAGCTAGTACTGACTAGTTGCAATATTAGGAGACCTACCAATTGCCAAAAGAGAGCATATTGCAAATACTTGCTTTTATAAGCCCACTCATGTCTGCAAGCCTGTGATTAAGGAGCTCTCAGTCTGTAGCTACTGGGTTGATTTACTGTATGCTCTCTTTATGGAGGAGATGTTGCAAGCAGCAAAGTTCATATCCTTGGCTTGGAGTTTGTAATTACATTCCAAGTGGAAATACTTCACCAACACTGGCATAGATAGGGACGGAGAGTGAAGAGGAGACTACTTGTGCTCTGGCTGAAAACACTAAGTTTTGAAAGGGAAACTAATGCTAGATTCCAGTGCTAATTATCCAAGAATGGCTTTAAGACTTTGGAGTGTCCCTTTTGTGTCCTCAAAAATAAGTGTAGGAATGTAATTTGAGGCTAAAGAATTAAGAACTACTTATGAACTGTAGACTTAAGGAGTAACACAGAGGGACTACAACTGTCTTTCTACCTGTGTCTTTAAAAATTTGAAGATATAATTTGGAAAGAAAATATTACAGAATAACTTTGTGTAGTAAGATTTAAGTGAAAAATTAATTGTATTGTTACAGGAGAGGAAATTACTTGGTTTATACCTAGTGAAATACAAGCAACTTTGCTGTAGTTACATGGAAAGCGTGAAGCAACTTTTCTGTAGTTACATTGAAATAGTGGTTTTGACCTACATCTGTTAACTGTCTTTACTTCATGAAATGTCACATTTATTTAATTGATCGGTTAAGTGTTGCTGTGATGGTTCAAAAAGATAAAAAAATAACCTGGGTTATAAATTGTTACCTGTATCAAAATTTGAATTGTATTGCTTGAATTTGAGAGGCCAGAAATAGTTTAGTTAAACTTCCTAGAAATAACTTAAAGCAGATCCATGTTTTCATGCTGTGAGCTAAAGTAAAGTGGAAAATTAATTAACATTTCTGCTTTGGTCATTAAGGTACAGCTTCATCACATACGCTTTTAATAAAACTTTGCTTTCAGATTTAGGTTTTCAATTTCAAGTTCCTATTATGCAACTTCTTTTCTTCTTTTGCTAAAGGCTTTAATGGTTGCACTTCAGTTCAAACTGGCATTTCCATATTTTTCTCCTTCAGGCTTTTTCTCTGGGTGCCTTGTGTTTTTCACCTCTTTATTAATATGAATCTAGTAAAATACATACAATTAATCTAGTTCTGTATATCAAAGAAAGAAATTCCTGAAATTGCATCAGTCTTGCAGTTCTTTCTGAATTCAGTTATATGCCAGACTTCACTTGAAATTTCCGGTATTAAGGATTATTTGCCAAACAAAGAAGATAATATGCCGCCAGTGTTTTCTCTCAAACTTTTAATCTAAGTGTAAACAAGACAGATAAATATTTTTCAAGCAGACTCCCCTCTGCACCGTCTCAGTATAGTGTGTGAACTACTTCTACGCTTTCTGAGCAGCAGTTATCTTATCTTGGTATTTTCTATGACCGCAAATCATCTTCCTTGCTCTGAAAAGAGAGGCAAGGAGGCTTTAATATCTATTAATCAGGTTGTTGACAGTAGGCAGCTAGGCTTGCCTCTATGGTTGTCAGTGCCAAAAGGCAATATAGCGCTGAAACCAAGCTGCTCAAGAGGAGAGAGATCCTGAGTATTTACCATCTTTATGGCAAGGTCACAGTAGAAGACTTTGTAGGCTTTGCCACTGAATTTTGAAAGTGGCATTTGCTAGACATTCTGCATAGTGCTATGAAGATTTTTAGTGAAAGCTCGCTACAGAGCTGGATGACTCATAACTATCCATAGTGACATACAGTACTTAGCAGCTGGAATTTAAAAAATGAAGGAATTAGCAACAGGAAGAAAACAGTTCCCTATTGTGCGATTCCTGTCATCATGGAGGTTTCATCAGATTTATTCCTTCTGTAAAGCTCTTCAGGACTGAAGACACTAGCACCAAAATGGTTTCGGTTGAGAGATCTGAATCTTCGCTTCTTGAGAAGCCCTACTGTCTCTCTTTGCCTTTAATGAGATTTTTCAAGAAGCATCACTCCAGATGATGCACAATATTTGCAGTTGCATAATCAGCATGGATCTTGGCAGCCCATGGCATTCAAATTTCTCATTATCAGATGCCTACTTTTATCTTGTAAACTTTTTTCTTCCAGTGTTTCATTTGAACTGCTTCCATGTAGACTTTTGTTTCTTCAAGTGTTAGGATTGCACGAGTGATTTGGTTTGGGTTTTTTTTTTTTTCTTCCTTTCCCTTTACCTTAAACACTGTTTGACCTAAATAGTCATTATCATTCCAGGTTTATGTATTGAAACGACCACATGTGGATGAGTTCCTTCAGAGGATGGGAGAGCTCTTTGAATGTGTACTCTTCACAGCCAGTCTAGCCAAGGTTTGTTCCTCTCTTCTTCTCATTACCCCTTACAGTGCTGGTCAGTGGACTTTTGGTTGGGTTTTCTATGGATAATTATTTCCACAGTTGGTACTATCTTAATTTTTTCCCCTTCTTTTCTGCTTCTTTGTCTGACAGTGTGTACTTTGTCTGCTAGTGTGTGGGTAAGTGTTTCCATGGTAACACCATCACATATGGGCTTGTCTCATAATGTAGCCTCCATGCATTGCTCATAATGCCAATATGAAAGGCTTACAAGTTACCATGGTTATAGTGAGACATTAGAACAAATAGTGTGCGAGCAAAGCAGTATATTAAAGCTGGGCATGAAATAAAATACACTGTATTTAACGCTATCGATGTGGTCAGCCAGTGATTCAGAAATTTACTGCATCTGAAAATTGGGAACGCATTTTTGTTCTGTCAAGGTGCCGTTGCAATCTGGAGTTAGAAAATCAGACATTTTGTAAAGCTTGAAACATCTACAGTAATATTTTGTGCCCTCTGGTCTCCAGTAGCAGTAGTGCCTCGTAGGTAGTTTTGTGGTAGACATTACTGTAGTAGGTATCTTAAATTCTTCACTTGTTTCAATGTATTGTATTTGTGGTGTCTTGTTTGTTAAATTATATTGATTATTTCTAAATAATACTGTAGCATAGCAAGCTTTTAACTCCAGCCTAGTGTAGAGATGGTAGAAGGGGACAGGACCCTGTTTCATCTGCTATAGTCCCTTCTTATCAGAGGATTCTTCCCTGCACTGTGTTTACCATGTTCTGTTCAGTCATATCGTGAAAATCATAAGTAATGGCACAATTTCATACTGCAATTAGATGTCTAGCGGTTTTCATAGTCAAAAGACGATTGATTTCAACGTCGATTTTGTTTCTCAGTTTAAAGTACAGGAAAGTGGTCACTCGTATCCTGCAAAAATTAAGTTGTAACTACCATTTTCACGTACGTGGTTATTTCATGTTCTGGTTTATTTGGATACTTTTCCTTGGACAGTTATATCAATTGCTGAATTCTAAGCAGTGCCTCAATTAAAGTATCATCTTATATATAAAATGAGAATTTCCCAATATTGTACATGGGTGTTTTTCCTAATGACATCTTTGTCTGATCTTTTATGGCTCAGTTATGCAGTTTGGTAATCTTAAGATTCTTAGTGACCTTAGTCATTCCAAGGGCATCATTTGAAGAAGCTACGTCAAGCTCAGGTACATTCATTGCAGTTTATCGTCAGAGGCACATGGAAATGAATCAGCTGTGGAAATTGCTTCCTATAGTTTTTCTGTTGGCATTGGCTGGTTTTATGGTAATGTTAGGTGAGATCTCTGGATCTATCAACTTCTAGGTAACTCCTAGAGTAACTATAAGTTGGCCCTAAGAATAAAACCTAATCAATAAATCACAGAAGACATTAGAGTGCAAGTTAACCTTCCGTAGAAAGATAACCGTCCTACTTTTGCGTTGTCTCTCTATTTAATCACTTCAGGTTTGCAGGCATGTAAGTTGATTAACAAGGAGCAGGGAAGAAAATGAAGAAAGGGCATTTTATCTGAAATTACTTTGTGTCCCTTCTTTGTATAGTTGCGTGAATTAGCCTTATCTGCACATTGCTCACTTCATGTTCCTAACTTCTGTTTTTAAGTATGCAGACCCAGTAGCCGACTTATTGGATCGCTGGGGTGTATTCAGGGCAAGGCTCTTTAGAGAATCCTGTGTTTTCCACCGAGGAAATTACGTGAAGGATCTGAGTCGACTGGGACGTGAGCTGAGTAAAGTTATTATAGTAGATAATTCTCCTGCATCTTACATCTTCCATCCTGAAAATGCAGTAAGTATTCTTAGTATTTGAAGTACTCTTGCGTAACCTTATCTTTCTGGTCCATGCCCAGACTTTCTGATTCGGAAAATAGCCTTTCAGAATGCTAACTTGTATTAGTTTCTGTGTTTTCTTAGACTGCAGGTAGGTTCTGGTATTCACTGCCAAATGGTGAAGGACTAGGGCAAACTGATTTTGATAGTGTGTCATTGTCGTGACTGTTCATCTGCTTTCATTTTTAACTTTTGGCATGAAGTCCATCCGTTTTGAGAAATACCAAGTGGTGTAGAACCTGAATAACTAACCTAGCTCTAAAAAACGAAGCTGCCCTCCAGCATAGTTTTTATTCTTTGGGATGATGATTACAAAAAGAACGGTTTACTTGAAGTGCTTTTGGTACTCCATCTTTTTTCATTGTGTGAATAAAAATATTTTATTAGACAAGATAATTAATACTTTACTGGTTACTATCTGAGTTCTGTATTCGTGGCTAAGAGGAGGAAAAAAATCAAGATCCTCTTGTGTTGTTATGCTTCTCCTTTAAGTATTTTTGTGATAACTTGCTTCATAATTAGAAATGTTAGTCAACAAGTTCATCAAGTTTTAGGAATAAGGATAAAAGGCAGGCAACAGTACTTCAGGGGAGAATAATTAGGAGCAATGCACATTTTCACTGTGTGTTTTGTATCGGCTCCAGAAGCTATGATGGAATGGTCTGGCACTTGCTCCATGCATTGCTGCAATCAGTACAGAGGCTCACATCTGTTTTGTAGCTGCCAGGACAGCAAGCTGGAACTCCCCTTACATCTATTGACTTTTAAACAACCAGGCTGGGCAATGTTTTCTTTGATGTTTTTAGGCTGCCTTTTTTGTGAACTGTTAATTTTAAACATAGGGAATTTTTATTAGTGACACTGTTTTGCATGGTCCTGCCCCTCTGGAATAGCTTTTTTTTTGCCCCCTTTTTTTTTTTTTTTTTTTTTTTACTTGAGCTATTTGTCTTGCAGCATTCAGTTTTTAAATTCAGATCTCAACACTGTGATGCCCTAAATGACTGGATGACAACATTTTTCTGGTTGGTGCCACACATGGTTTAAAGTTGCTATTTATAGTCACCAGGAGCTATAACTCTAATTTATGTTCCTGGGTAAAATCAAAAACCTGATCCAGATTGTCATTTGGTATATTGGAATTCAGTGCCAAGAAAATAATGAGCTGTAGAAATTTGGGAGATGAAAGTAAGGGCTTTGTCAGAGTGGTTTAATCATATGTAGAAAAGTGCTGCTAGCTAACTGATATTCGAGTCTCTGCAGAAACCAGAGCTTGTAACGAGATCCAAGATGGTCTTTAAAAGACCTCAGTATACTTCCATAGTGAAGATACACAGAACTCCTTCCCCGAATCCAGCCCACATATTTAAGAAGTGTTATTATATGCATTACTTTCTGAACCTGCTTTCATGGTATTATATTTGAATCAGAGAACTGTTCTTTAAATATTTCCTCCTCAACCTCATGCCAGAAGGGGTTGTTGCTGCATGCCTGTGTTCAGTGACTCACACTGATAATACTTAGAGGGGAAAAAAAGACTTGCCCATAAATAAAGTGTCAGTACTTCATAACCTGTATCTTCCTTCCAGTCTATTCTGAACATCAAGGAGGGAGAGCAAATTGAGCTGTCCTGTGTTGGGTCATATAGGTTACCTGGACATGTAGGAGAAGGTGGCCTGCATGTCAACTGCTTTACAGTTGGATTTGGAATGTCAGCTGTCCTACAGTTGGATTTCGGGTTGATATTGCGTACTAGAAAATGTGGACTTGAACCTGGTGCTCCATTTGAATGCTAATGGCTAGCCTTCCTTTGATGGCAGCGAGTATTACAGGACATCTACACAGGCAAAACTCACATGTTCTTCACATCATGAAGTCATCTTAGGATTTGTTGATTGCTTTGTTTCAGGTGCCTGTGCAGTCCTGGTTTGATGACATGACAGACACAGAGCTGCTAGATCTTATTCCTTTCTTTGAAGGACTAAGCAAAGAGGAAGAAGTTTACAGTATGCTTCATAAACTCTGCAACAGGTAGCCCTTAACTTTGACTGACTTCTGCTACTAGATTGCAGTTGCTAGAGGCTGTCTCCATCTTTTTCAGCTCTTTCAAATGTAAGTTTGGGGAGGTCACTCCTGTCAGAAGTGCTACTCTTGATCTTCCTGTTACATTGGACACGAAGGACAATCATGAGTGATGCTATTAAGCCTTCGGAAGCCTGACTCCTAAGGTCATGTGTTCAGACTACTTTTTTAAAGGAGAAAAAAAAAAAAAAAAAGAAGCTATTTTAAATGGGACTCTTTTAATGAATTTCATAAATGGACATCTTTTACTGGATCAGCTTTTCTTAAAACATGCCAAAAAAGAAGCTTGTATTTCAGCAGTTGAATTTCTCTCCCTTTCTTCCCCTCCCACTATGCAGACAATTTTACCCCCCTGCTTAGAGCAGTTGACCTGACTCTGAATTTTTTCTTACAGAATGAAGTGCCTTTTTGAATGTTATTTTAAGATAAAAATTCATTTTTGTATAAGACGTATTTCCAGACATCTTTTAGTCTTGTATTGTCTAAATGCTTTAAAAGGAAAAAGGAAAAATTTTATAGAGCACTGTAATATATAACAAAGGAAAAAGTTGAAACAAAGATGCTGGGTTCCTGTCTCCACAATGACATTAAGTTGTATTACATTTTGTCATGCTCAGAAGGTTTAAGCGTTTGTGGGAGGGGTGATTTGGGTTAATTACATGGTTGTTTCACTGATATGATTTTGGGCACAGTTTTGAACATATCTGCAGTTGTTTGAGTATTGGGGAATTGATGGAATTGAGAAAATAAGGTGGCTAATAGATCTAAAGCACCTTTTATTCTAGACAGATGAAGTTCTATTGTCTCTGCTTACGCACAACTGCCATGCCTCTCGTTTTTTGGAAAACCATTATCTTGGGAGAGTGGGGAGGAGATCTATTTATTAGTTTAAGATTCTTTTCTTAAAAAAACCCATCTGGGTAAGCTGGATCTGTATTGAGCTGTTTGGAGTACTTTTTTTCTTTTAATTGCTGCTACTGTATACTCACCAAATGGAGTTGACCATCGGCTGTTATACTGTTTTTGCCACTGTGCCTGTGCTATGAAACATTTTCTGTAAGCTGCAAACTTGGGCAATAAATAAAATGCAGGCTTCATAACCCATCCCTATGTATTAATCCTATGGTATCTGATATACCAGAGAACTCAGTTAAAGGTGACCTGTAAAGGATTTTTTTTTTTTTTTTCAATTGGGATGAAGCCCTCTCCTTTCTTTGGTATATAAAAAGGCAAAAAGTATTTTTCCCACATCTCTGATTTGTATTTCTTCTTCCCCAAAGTGTAAGGTACAGATTGGGAGTCTTGCTAGAAGGGCAGAAGTTACTAGCCTAGACTGAAATTGGTCCTCTGGCTTTGGAGTTTAGTTAGTCTCATCTCTGAATCTGAGAACCTGCTTAGCATCTTCTGTAGTGTCATCGGTACCCTTTCAAAAGAATATCTTTTAAATATTTTAAGCCTTTGAAGAACGAGGCACACTTTTTTTTCCTCCAGTGTCACCTTTTAATTATTATCCGCACCAGAAATCTACAAACATAAAAATTACAGCTATGTTTGGCTGTCATCAGAGAAGCCTAAGTGGTGTAGTTGGTGCTTCTAATTAGCCTCGTGCTAAATTCTGAACAGCAGATCCCCTTTGCCTTTTCTATTTTTCTCGAAAAGTCTGGATGACTTGGGAAAAAAAAATTTTGCAATGGACTTGGATTATCATCCTTGTCAAAAACATTGGTGAAGCAGCTTAACAAATTCATTCATAGAAGGGCAGGCTAGCCTACACAGGCAGTGAGTAGGTTGTCGTAGGTGCAGTATAAAACTAAAGATGACTTGCCCCTTGCAGTGCAGCTGTGCTCCAGCTGCTCACCATGTCTCGTAGCGAGGGATGTTAGAGGCAGTCCCGTCACACTCGTGAGTCTGTACGGCATCACCATTTTGTTTTCTTACCAGTTGGCATTACCTTAGTACTGTATAATTCTGTGCCACAATAAAAGACAAAACTGTCGAATTAAAAAAAGAAAAAGAAGAAAAAAACAAGCCTATGTTGTTAAATGGGAGGAAAAAAAAAGGACGTATGGATTCTGGTTAGTCCATTAACGTTTACTTTCAGTTTAAGATTGTTTAATTTTGTATTTGACTTCAGAGTAATGAAACTGTAAGCTGCCAAAAATTTGTTCTCTGAGCAGTATTTTCAACTGTGTTCGTAGCTTCTGGGCTTCAAATACAGTTTGCAGGGAAGTATTCAGGTTGTAGTTAGTTGTGCAGGTATGATAAGAATGGCTGAAAAAATTCAAAGACTTTCTCGCTAGCATTAGACCAAACAATCTTCCAATTAGACAATAAATAACCCCACGGAAACATTACCATTTAACGGTTGTGACCTGTTGTACGTGAGACAAACCATGTCATTAGTTTGCATTTACGAAAGCAGCGATTTCATGAACCAGTTGCCTTAAGTCTGTGAATGAATGTTGATTATTAAAGTGTCTTGTCTTGTTTTAAAATCCACATATAATGGACAACTGAACTTCTGCACCAGCTTCTGGACGAACGGTTCCGATGATGTTCTGTACAGCCATAGTTGTTCTGTATTGTTTATTTTGACTCTTGAAATCCACTAATTTCAAAAAAAAAAAAAAGCTTATTTTAACTTATTACAGCATTAAAATGACACTTGGTGACAATAGAAAGCTGAAAAACTTAGCAACGGTTTTGATCTCTGCTAGTAGCTTAAGTGTCTTTTCTATAACTTCTGATTTAAATTTTTTCTTTTTTTTTCCTTTTTTTTTTTTTTTTTTAATTCATTCCCATTGAAATAAAACTTGGAGTGCTCTGCAGTCAGGTTTGGACTTCCCTGGGTATTCACATTTGGCCAAAGGGATGAAACTGTTGTAGTTGTTTATTTTGATGCTATCATCGTACTTGAAATTTCAAGTGTTAAGTTTGCGTGAATATACATACGCTATATATTTAGAGTTTCTAGATTTTAACAAAGCAATATAGTTCTGTCCATAAAGTCAGATGATGAGTGGAATGTTTGTAAAATTTGCAATACGGGTATTTGATTGTATTTTAAATACAAGATTTTAAAAATTAAAATAGGAAAAATTACTTGTTTCCTAAATCTCTTGTATATTTTGAAGTGCAGTTAATGCCTGCAGGTTACCAGGGCTGTTATAAACCTTGGTTTTCCATTCTATTTCTGGATATTATAGAAGTATTAAAAAGTCTTTTCCAGTTGGTCATTCTGTTCAGCTAAAGGAATGCTGCCTGGCCTGAAGTTCTGTTGTCCTTTTTATGCTGGGTTAAGAAAGGTTTTTTGCCTGTATAGGTATTTTTAAATTAAGCTGTAAGGCAGAATGCCTTAGATTCTTGAAATTCAACTGAAGTGTTACGATTAAATTGCCATTTGTAAACTAGGGCTGTGCGCAGAATACTTGTTAACCACCAGGAAGTGTGGCAGGGTTTGAATGGAAGATCGTAGCAAATGTACAATATTGCTGTGTTCATTTAGGTAGCTTTGGAAGAATAATTTGTCTATTTGTTTCGCCCTTTAATCTTTTTTAAACAGCAAAGTTATACACGGAAGAAACTCAACACCTGAAGAGATTTGGTTATCAGTGTATGCAATCACTTTATCACAGCATGATTTTGATTAGACTGGTTGGGGACAATAAAGTATCTGAATGACACTGGTGTGTACTGATGTTGCAGCTTTTGAAATTTCAGTGTAAAAAAAAAAAAATCTGTAGTTATATAATTTACAAACACATAATCCTATGTTTTACAGATTCTGTTTAAACTAATAAAACACAGTACCGCACAGCCCTATTTGTAAAACAAAAACAAGTTTGTGCCTCTGATTTCCAAGGTGCTGTGATGTTTTACCTTTGTGGGGCGCGGAGGGCAGGTGAGACTTGCGTGGGGCAGTCGCTTAAAAATCTCTGGGCTAACTATGCAAAACCAGCTTGTCAGTTTTCTATTTCTCATTATATTGTAAAAATCCAGCTGACTTATTTTCTTTCTTGTTAAAGATCTATTAGGAACTTAACAGAGGAGTAAGCAATGGAAATGTTTCTTTCTTTTTTCTTTTTTTTTTTCCTATTAATGGAGCTGTTTACACTTTAATGCAATGAACAATCCAGCGATACTTGAGAAACACTACAGATACCATATGAGTGTTTTCAGGAGAGAGAAGTGTTGTCAATCAGGTATTGAATGGTTTCTTTACTGTCACAAATAAAAAATTTTAACAATATAGTTACTTGTGCATGTAATACTTCTCTGGGAAAAAGAATTTCTGCACTTCTCCTTCAATAATTTGACAGGGACTTTATTCCTGCTACTGCACATCCGTGTTAGATAGTGAAATCGCCCATCTCTCTTCCATTCTCCTCCCCCTCTCCTCTGTTTAAGTCATGTATAGAACTCCTTATTGACTGCCCTGGCACCTGCTTGTGCAAACAGAGCTGATGAACTACTGATGAACTCTGCTAAATAAATTGATGGTGACTCTTGCAGATGTTCCAGCTATTTAGATCTCTTGGATGAGATCATACAATAATTTGTTCAAGTCTCAAAGCTGTGTGACTTCTTTTGAAGGGCTTACTTCAGCTACTTGAATAGCTGTTCTTAACATCACTGCCATATCCAAGTGAATATCTGAATAAAACACTTTATTTGGTTGGAAAGTCTATTTTGGGACTTTTTATCTGACACAGTAAGACTTAGGCAGAGCCTTCCTTTCTAGGAAAAGGCACATATTATTAGTGCTTTATGAGCAGAAAACCTCAGGCCTCTTAGAATAAGCAGCTGGCTCAAGATAGCACATTAGTTGCAATTAAAAATATTTTTAGTTATTCCTATGATCAGTTGGAATGACCTAGACTGCCTTTACTTTGTACTGGTGGGTTGCGGGTTTTGATTTTTTTTTTTTTTTTTTTTTAGGTTTTGTTGTTGTTTTGGTTTTAGTTTTATGAATCTCCTTAGCTGCTCCATAGTATAAAGATGCCTTTCTTTCACTCAGTAAAACAAGTATTTCAAAATTCATAAAACAGCTCATTTATAGTGGTGAGAAAGATACTGTTGTTCTATCCTGACTGCTTGAAACCAAGTGTCTGCAAAACTGAATACACAATAGTCTATGTAAGTGTACGCCTTCCAATATTTTTTTTTCCCCCTTT